CTTGGTTGCCAGGGGGGCCAGCCCCGGTTCAGGGCCTCCTAGTTGCCAGAGGGGCAGCCCCGATGCAGGGCCTCTTGGTTGCCAGGGGAGCCAGCCCCGGTTCAAGGCCTCCTAGTTGCCAGGGGGGGGCAGCCCCGATGCAGGGTCTCTTGGTTGCCAGGGGGGCCAGCCCCGTATCAGGGCCTCTCGGTTGCCAGGGGGGGCAGCCCCGATGCAGGGCCTCTTGGTTGCCAGGTGGGCCAAGCGCCGGGGCAGGGCCCCTTGGTTGCCAGGGGGGGCAGCCCCGGTTTAATCTCTCTTGGTTGCCGGGGGGGGGGCAGGGCCTCTTGGTTGCCAGGGGGGCGGCCTTCGGCTTTGGCTGCTTAGGGGCCAGGTGGCTTCACCCGGCTTTGGCTCCTTAGGGGCCAGGTGGGTGGCCCCCGGCTTTGGCTCCTTAGGGGTCAGGGGGGCGGCCCCCCTGATATCGAATGACTTTGCTGGAACTCGTACCCCGTTGCCTGAAGTCAATGATTCGCCTTCAAATGGCCGGGTACGCAAAATGACTGCCGTGACGCACGAATAGTGGTATCAGAATTTTGCATTAAGTTTACGGGTTGATTTGAAGGCGCACTTCTGTATCCATTGTGAGTGGCCTTGTACAATGATGTGGACCAAAAAGTTCATAATTTTGGGTTTTAAATCGAGCCACATATTCGAAAAATGCCGAGGAATATTAGTTCGAAAAAAGAATTAGATCGCGTTTGGTCTCTAAATCTTATTTCAAAGAAGAGAGCGCAGGCGGCTGGATCAGATTGTGTATTTTAAGTCCCTTAGTTCGGTCATTGTATTTCGAAGCGAAACTGAAAGAGTCGCCGAAAGAATACTCATCTTGAAATTTTTAGAGTTTTCTGTCATTATAAGTTCCACTTAAACTTTAGTTCGATGATCGATTCGAATACCGAGAAAGGGGCAAAATTTTGGGAGGCTCTTTTCTGCTCACACACAAACGAGATTGGAGATTTCAAATTATTATTAGAGATTTCAAAACCGCCACAAACTTGAGGTTTGGGGTACTGAATGCACATGAACTTCGGGACGTACCTGCAAATTTTACTTTTTTGTCACGGCTCATTTTAGCCATCTACTGAGCCAATGTGTCCATAATTTTTGAGGCTATTGGAAGCTGAAACATCTAAATGAGTCCGTCCTCTTCATTTTGGAAATATGACTCAAGTTTTATAAAATTACGATTTTTCAAACTTTTTTTCTACGCATATTGTCCTCTTGAAAAGGTAGGCATTTTTTCACACTTGGAGTAGTAAAAATTGATAAGAATATTAAGACGTCATCGGAAGCCGTAAAAGATCCAAGAATATCTAACAAAAATATTTCAATGAAGCGTGGAATGGCTATGAAAAATTGCTCTGGGCGATTCCCGGCGGGTAATTTCTTGGAGGTGTGAAACCCCCGGAAGATAGGGTACGTGAGATGCGACTAGGAGTGTGAACACACGTTGAAGATTTGCATAATATTTATTCAAGAGCACCGTTGGGCGTTTCTCTTTCTCTCGGAGGGAAGAAAATGCTCTCATGTAAATTTGAATCTGCCATTCTGCCCGTAAAGCACAAAAATACAACGCTGTTGTCAATTGGATGGTATCTACCTGCACTCTAAGCATGCATGAGCTCAATTGATCGAGACATAGAAGAACTTTGGACTAGGAGAGAGACTCTGCACATTTTTTTCTGTTAATTTTTCATTATAAACTTTTTTTTTCATAAAATGAAAAATAATTTAGTAAATCAATGTTTGAAGAGCTGAAAACAACATCAGGATTATCAAACAAACAAAACAAAATAAAATTGCCACTAATTAATAAAGTGTCTCCTTGTATTCGTATCCCCCTGCCCCTATCAGGGATGAAGTGACTGATAACTATTGCATATATTTTTTAAGAATTGGTCATGACGTATATTTCTGAATAATAAGGACAACCATTTTAATTACTAACTACCTTAATGCAATGTGTCACTTAGGGCTGACTATCGATTTATCCAAAACGTAATTTATTCTTTAGAGCATGTCGCACACAAAGCTTTTGATCGCAGGCACAGGCAGACGTTGTAAGGTCAATCGTAAGCGCCTTCAATTTTTTCGGTATGTGATTTGGACATATGCAGAGCATGAATAGTTGTATCCAGGAGTTTATGTTTAAAACGCCGCTGCCTCTTCAATTTTTCGCGCATATAACACAAATCTTTCTTTGCCGAAAATGATTGTACCCCTCACAATCAATTAAAAAAGGACCCAATCATTAAAATTTCTGAAATTGATCGTATTGTAGTCTATGAGACTCACATTACATTAAAATTAGCGAAGATTGTTTAATTTCAGAAAAATGTCAGCAATCGTCTCAATTTTGACGCGTATTTATGCTGAAAAGCACTTCAAACATGTTCACATCATTGACAAGTTGTTGACAACTATTGGCTTCTAACTTTGGTTCTACTTTGGTTTTATAATTTTTATGTTCTTTTCCTCTATCCTCTCTTAGAGTTAGGTCGTTTTTATAGGAACAATCTCATTTTTTCGGTGAAATAAACGCGAAAAATCTGATTGACTTTGTCAAATCAATCTACATTTCTCTTTGTCTACATTTTGCAATAAGAAAAAAACACTAGGGGTCGTATTCTTAGTTGTTCGTCGAACAGTCCCTTACCTTAGGAGACTCCATGTGCTTTACTCTGTTATTAGGGATGTTTGAAAGATATCTTTAATAAAGTATCGTAAAAAAGACAATATTTGCGAACCTTGAATGTAAAACTTTGAAAATGGATCATTTCAAGGGATTACAATGATTCACCACTGCAAAAATCACAAAATACGACAGGGAAAATTCTATGATTTTGAAAATCTTTAAGGTAGGTGCAAATCTGCCTAAAGACTTACAAAACTCGCAGTATATTTTCTTCCATATTGTGTATATTTTGGCAGTTGTAATTCATTGTAATCCCTTGCAAGGAATTATTTCCGAAGCAATGCTACTGACTTTTACTAAAAAATGGCAAACATGCTCTTTTTTAGGGTGCGGAGTTAAAGATCTTATTAAACTTGCCATAATCACAATGTAAACCAAATAAGCCCCTTGAGGAAATTGAGGAGCTGTTGAATGAGCTGAGCTGTTAATGAACGATTATGAATACTACCCTAAGTATTTTTTTCGCTAATTGCAAAATGTAGTTCATTTTTGGCTCCGAGACAGTTCCTCGGTTCTTCCAGAATAAAAATTTGAATCTTCAGAAGAAAACATGAAATATGATAGGAATCCTGTAACGTCGCAAACGGAGATACGTGCTTTCGCACTTTGGCCATCGATATATTTAGTATATCTCTTCTCTTATAGCAAAATGGATTGCATTTTGCGAAAAGGAACCAGGAGCATTCCTATGTCGCCAAGATTGTGCAACTTCCTTCACTTTGCGAATATAAACTGATCACTTAAACAAGTTTCATAAATACTCCCAATTGACTACAATTTCACGAGGGAAAGTACCTTTGTAAAGGACGACGGACCGGTCTTATGGGAAAAGTGGGCCCGGTTAAATCGGCTGGCGTTTTGATATGTTGTAGGTCTTAACCTACTGATCAAAAGTGTCAATGGGCATTTCTCCCTATCTCGAAGTTTTACCCCCCATTTTGGGGGTCAAAGTTGCCAATTCGGCGTATAATTGGCAGTTTTGACACCCGGGTTNCTTTTCCCATAAGACCGGTCCGTCGTCCTTTAATTTTTTGCACGATTTCAGTAATTTTATAGCAAATAATGCAAGTTGCACAATTGGATAGCATTTTGCAAAAAGGAACCAAGAGAATTCCAATGTCGCTAAGATTGCGCAACTTCCTTTACTCTACGAATATAAACCGATCATCTAAACAAGTTGTATTAATACCAATAAACCATCAATTCAACACGAAAATTACCTTCGTAAATTTAATTTTTTGTACAACTTTAGTAATTTAATTGCATAGAATGTAGGTAAGTTGCACAATTCTATCAAAATTAGAATGCTCTTAGTTCTTCTGCGAAATGCAATCCAAATATAGTCCATTTTTACGTTAGAGTTACTTAAGTCCCTTTACACTGAGAGTCAAGACAACATGGAGTCACAAACGGGAATAAAGATTACACGAACTGAAAGTTTATCGTAATCTTAGATCGGTTCATTCTCAAATTCCTTTCTCCGTTCCTTCTCTCATTCCGTTTGTTCCTTGCCGAACTCGTAATTCCGCGGTCCATTCCAGATTATAATCTTTGCAATTGGTGAAAACGTAATCTTTATTCCCGTTTGTGACACTGTGGAAGCCTGAATTACGGGAACCAATCAGAGATGGATTCACATTGTCTTAACTCTCAGTATAAGAGGACTCTACCCAGATGAGACATAATATTTTCACAATATTGGGCAAATATTGTCAGTATTGTCGAAATACTTACACAATACTGACAATATTTTGATAATATTTTAATCAAAATTATTTTTTTAAAAAATAATTAAAGAGTCTTTATTTAGTATTTTCAAAAATGATATGTTTAGTTTATCCAAAATATTATAAAAATATTTTCACGGTATTGACACAGTATTTCGCAGTATGTTAAAGTATTGGCACAGTATGTATGCCAAAAGGAAATATGGTGTACACTTTTAACATTGGCTCAATATTTAACCAATGTTTGCATAAATATTAGAACTTTATTGTTGAAATATTGACTAAATATTTCTTTCTTATCTGGGTAAGAGTTACTTCCTAGGTTAAATCTGGCTAGCATGCGATACACTGCAGAGCCTTCGTCCCTGGAGGAGGATCCATGGCCAGCTGCCCGGATGGCGGATGCAGAGCACAGAACGTGTCAAGGAAGAAAGCAAAAAAGTGCATCCAAACATGAGCCACGCTTAGCACACGCTCTAATGTATCTCAAGGCTCATGCTCGAATGCAGTTACTTAAAACTTGGAGCTCGACTCACCTTTCTTCTCCTTCTCAGGACTCCCCCTCCTCAGGCTCGGGGAACATGAATCCTTCACGGCGGGCACTTCTGGTTCCCGGCCTCCGCGCACCCCTCCGCCGCCGGTAAATCATCTCCGCCTGCAACAACAACCAAATCAAATAACATTCCGCACCCGGTAAATCCCCTGTAAGCAGTTGTAACTTGTAAGCCCCGGCCCTGGGGCCCCGGAGCGAGCGAGCGCTCCAGAAAGAAAAAGCCTTGTTCTCCCGGAATCGGAAAGTGGAGCGACTTGAAAGGGGAATAGTTGAGTGTTGAGAGAGTCTCGCTTTACGGGATTCTTGTCTATTGAGGCCCTGGTAATCGGAGTCGTTCCTTTGGAAAAATTCGGCTTGACGGACCGAGTTTAAAACTAGTTTGCTCTGTTGTGCTAAAGGTAAAACACCGTATCAGCCTTCAAACGTTGCCAAATTTCTTTCAAATTTCTTTCAAATTTCAAATTTCTCAATTTTCAATTTTCTTTTTTTTCTTTTTTTTTCGGTTTCAAATTTCTTTTGTAAAATACCAATTTTCAGGGAAATCTATGAACATGTTTCCTTCAATTTTTTACGGAATTCTTGTCTATTGAGGCCCTGGTAATCGGAGTCGTTTCTTTGGAAAAATTCGGCTCGATGGACCGAGTTTAAAACTAGTTTGCTCTGTTGCGCTAGTGGTAAAACGCCGTATCAGCCTTCAAACGTTGCCAAATTCCTTTCGTGAAATACCAATTTTCAGGGAAATCTATGACTATGTTTCCTTCAATTTTTTACGGAATTCTTGTCTATTGAGGCCCTGGTAATCGGAGTCGTTCCTTTGGAAAAATTCGGCTTGACGGACCGAGTTTAAAACTAGTTTGCTCTGTTGTGCTAAAGGTAAAACACCGTATCAGCCTTCAAACGTTGCCAAATTTCTTTCAAATTTCTTTCAAATTTCAAATTTCTCAATTTTCAATTTTCTTTTTTTTCTTTTTTTTTCGGTTTCAAATTTCTTTTGTAAAATACCAATTTTCAGGGAAATCTATGAATATGTTTCTTTCAATTTTTTACGGAATTCTTGTCTATTGAGGCCCTGGTAATCGGAGTCGTTTCTTTGGAAAAATTCGGCTCGATGGATCGAGAACTAGTTTGCTCTGTTGTGCGAGAGGTAAAACGCCGTATCATCCTTCAAACGTTGCCAAATTCCTTTCGTGAAATACCAATTTTCAGGGAAATCTATGACTATGTTTCCTTCAATTTTTTACGGAATTCTTGTCTATTGAGGCCCTGGTAATCGGAGTCGTTCCTTTGGAAAAATTCGGCTCGATGGACCGAGTTTAAAACTAGTTTGCTCTGTTGCGCTAGTGGTAAAACGCCGTATCAGCCTTCAAACGTTGCCAAATTCCTTCTGTGAAATACCAATTTTCAGGGAAATCTACGAATATGTTTCCTTCAATTTTTTACGGAATTCTTGTCTATTGAGGCCCTGGTAATCGGAGTCGTTTGCTTGGAAAAAATTCGGCTCGATGGACCGAGTTTAAAACTAGTTTAGTCTGCCGTGCTAGGGAAAACGCCCAATGTGCCTTTGAACGTTGCCGTATTTCCTATGATAAATTAGAAATTTTCAGGGAAATCTGCCTGTGAATGTTTCCTTTAACTTCACAGATAATTTTTTCTGCAATCAGATCCAGATTACTTGAAAATATTCATAACTCCCCTTTCAGAAAATGGAACGAGTTTAAAACTAGTCTGTACTACCGTGCAAGGTAAGAACACCCTATGAGCCTTCAAATGTTTCCAAACCTCCTGTAATAGAATACAAATTTTTAGGGAATTCTGTGAATATGTTTCCTTTAACTTTTCAGATAATTTTTTTCTGTTATCACATCTAGGTTACTTGAAATTTGTTAGAGAGAATATTCATTACTCTCCTCAAAAATAAACACTTTATTGAACGAAAGGCAACTTTCGAATCATCATACGGCATTTTTTCTTAGCACGGCAGCAGCTTGCCAGGACTCGGGTATTTTTGACTGGTTCGGAGAAATAAGACGAAGGAGGGAAAGAAGAGGAAGAATAAAACAGCAAAGCGGATGAAAAAAGAGAAAGAAAAAGACAGTAAAAACGAAGGATAAAATTATTTTTCTTCCTTTTCTTCTAAGGGCATTCATAAATTTCGTAACGCTCTGGGGGTTAGGAGGTATGAGCCTGCGTTACATTACAGTGAAAAGGGCACGGTGAATTAGGGTCAGCGTTACGCAAAGACTAGGACGTGAGGAATAGGACAGACTAGGATTATCAGAAAGAAACCAAGTCACTGAAAGCTCAAACGGAGGGAAAAAGATTCCAAGTTTAATTCTTCCATGGGACTCGATGTTAAAGAAGGAGTTCAACGCTCGTTTTTACGTTTCAAAATTTTTTCATTGACTTTAAATTCTTGATGGATGAAACTTGCGGCTAATGAAATGGTCAAAAGTACATCTAACTAAAATGCGACTTGGTTCCTCTTTATTTAATCCCCCGATGATTTGTGATTATTGAAATTAATAAGATCAAAATATTATTTTAACAGAAAAATTTTGATAACGAACACAATTTTGCACGTGGAAAATCTTTGAAATCGACTTTAAAACGCTCGTGATCGTCTCAAGCAAATACGTTTCGGGTTTAAAAGCTGTGATTATGCGCTAATCAAAGGAAAGTGCAACATTAAATGCAACATTAAAGATTGGTTGGCAACACTTACACTAACGGCTAATAACAGATTAGTACATTCCATTTTGCAAAATTGAATAAAGCGCTTTTAATATTCTTTCCATGCATAAATATTTTGAGCGCTGTCGACGAAAAAGTGATTATATTCCGCAAAGTGTCGAGTCTTGAGAGACAATCCGATATTTAGGATAGTCTGCCCTCCAGTAAGTCCGCAAATGAGTTTAAACGCGCGCAAATAATTGAAAAATGGACTCTATAAGCCTTGCTAATGAGAAATTTAGCACTCCTACTTGGAGGTCTCTTTCAAGTTAAATTGGATTTCCCCAGCGCACGAAGGAAATCGTGTTAGAGTTAATCCCAACTCTAGTTATTTAGCTGAAGCAAAAGTTGGGAACCATTAAATAATCCAATTACTCGATGTAACTAGGCACTTTACAGTGTTTGCACTCCCAACAGGTTGAAATGGTGAGATGAGCTTTTAAAACGCGCACCCTCGATTCGGATTTCGATGATTCCGGCGATTTTATTCCGGAACTCCTCAAGGCACCGTGTCGTAAATCACCAAGTTCTTCAGCGAACTCAGCGCGAAAATTTCAGATAAGTTGGAAAAGTTAGCGAATTAAAAGAGACAGGGTACCGCGCACTCATTACTGCAATTCACAGATTAACGAGAGACTGCAGGAGGTAAATGGAGATAACGCTTTTTAGAAACCTCATATTAATGACTTACTATAAGATAAAAGATACTTCCGGAGGTCAAAACTTTCCTTAAATTTGCGTAAGAACAGCTTTTTCATTCATACTCTGGAAGGAAAAAACGCACTGGAAAAAAAACACATTGGATCTAGAGTCCAGACTCTTGAAAACATTGACAAGAAAAACTACTCTTGATTCGATCGGATTTTTGCGTGAATCAAAATAAAATCCGCTTAAATTAAGAGGCTTGGTTCTTGATTTAAGCTAGATTCTGATTGAATCAAGAGCACTTTTTCTTGTCGATGTTTTCAAGAGTCTGGACTCTAAATCCAATGTGTTTTTTTCCAGTGCGCCGTATGAGCATTAAAAATTTGCCGAATTTCCTCTCTGAAAATGTGTATTTTTGAAGTAAGTTATGCATATTTTCCCTTGAAATTTTCATAAACTTTAGATCAAATTAAGAACAAAATTATCCGGAAAATCGGAAAACTAATACGCATAAATTCCCAGAAAATTCGTGATTTGTCAAAAGAAATTGGGCAATGCCTGAAGGCTCCTACGGAATTTTTCCCTAGCACGAAGGTACTACAAAAACGCATGTCGACAGCTAAGAGTCGAATCATCGCCTACCTGACATAAAGGCGTGACTACACTCTGCGGTGTACCCTGTCTTCCATACAATGGATCACTAGACAAGGTACGAATTTAAGCATTCCGGTACATGTTTCTTAACCAAAATTTCACGTAGAACACGATTCGCGCAACGAAAATTACTGAAACCAACTCCTAGCGAAGATATTAACCTTTTCATTTCACATTGGTTACGAGGAATTTGAACTGCCCACTCACAAGAAACTCAAAGCTCTACGTGAGTCAAATCGCGCACGACAACGGTCTCAGCAAGTTTCTTAATCGAGCAATATTCATTTCCCACCATGTGTTGTTCGAACTATAGGCAATTTGCTATAGCTGAACCAAAGCGTCAAGATTGAGGTTGCCAGATTTTTACATCGCGCAGAGACTGTCATGATAACGTTTAGCGCGCGATGTGAATCACGTAGAGCATTGAGTTTTCATGAGCGGGTGGTTTGAATTCACGCATCAAGAATCATTAAATATCGTTGTGAGGAGTTGATTTCGATAATTTTCATTGTGCGCATCGTGCTCTACGTGAAATTTTGGTCACGGATCATATATCAGAGTGCTGAAATTCGTACCTTGTCTAGTGGTCCATTCAATGTTTTTCCGGGCTCATCTCAACGTGGAGTTACGCCCCTATCTCAGCCAATTGACAAAATAAGGCAAACTAGTCAAGGTCTGAAGTAGAGGAAAACGTCATAAATATTTATTCTTCAAAATCTTATGCAGGAAGCAATTCACGGAATGGGAGGATTGGGAACCCAACTCCTGAACGAGATATTAAAGATTATGTTTAACGCAAATCAAATGGACGTATTTATGTTAACGGAACTATCTTCATAGGTTTTGTGTGTGACATAGTTCCTTTTAGCATAAATACGTCCATTTTTACTTGTAAACACCTACATCCTGTTTTGATTTCCAGGCTTTCCGTTGTGTGATTCGGTTTCCTCGAGATATGAAGCCGACATATGTTACGCATGGTGCTTTAACTGGACTACATTTTGCAATTAGAAACTATAATTCCTGGCTCAGTTTAGAAACAACGTATGTACCATCAGTTTCCTTATGCACAT